CCATCCCTAACTGTAATTGAGGAAGGAAGAAGGAGAAGAAAAGAAGATAAAGAAAAAAATAATAAAAAAATAAATAATATATTTTTTAAAATTAAGATTAATTTAAAATAAACAATAAAAAAACAAGGGTTAAGTGCGTTATTATGTCAAATATTTTAATTTTCATATCTTATATCATTAATATTTTAACGACATCAAACTGACTTATTAATTTTTAGATTAGATTATCATTATATATTTTTATAGTGGGAGACTAAAAACATAATATAGTCGGTAGATCATTTATGTATTTTACCCTTGCAATTATAAATCTATATTTATTATACTAATATATAAAAAATTAATTTTATAAAAGAATTGAACTTATCAAGTGACTTAAATGATTAAGGAAAGTGTTATTATCTTTAGAGGTTTGAGAGGTGTGATTATTTTACGAGAATGTTTCAAAGAATTGCCTGTCTAGCTCAGTTGGTAGAGTACAAGGTTCTTAACCTTGTGGTCGTGAGATTGAGTCCCACGGTGAGCAATTCATAATTCTGACTGCCGGAGGTCTTCCACGGAAGCTGCTCCCAACCTGACGTTGGGGGCAGCCTACTACCCTACCTCCCCCTTACCCCATTACATATGAGAATAATATCAGCTAATTTTATAATATGTATTACAATTTAAGGATGTTTAGGGAATTAAACTGGTAAAAACCTAATTTTTTGGGTAAATTACACCATTTATCACTGAACTTTAGTCTCTCTCCTATTTCACTCATTGTACTTTAAATTCGTTCGATATCTTCACTGAACTTAATATATTTGGTTTTTTGGGGTCACTCTACCGTTAAATAATTAACGGCGTTAAAAAAGTTGTTTTAGGAAAACAAAATTATTACTTAAACGATATCGTTTTGTATCTATATAACAATTAATTTATAACGCCGTTATGGTGGAGTGACCAAAAAAACTCAAACGTATTAAGTTCAGTTAGAAAATTGAATGGATTTAAAGTATAATGAGTGAAATAAAAAAAGAGTAAAATTCAGTAATGATTGTTGTAATTTACCCAACTTCTTCATATTTTAAAATGTTTCCTTTCGTTGCCTTGCAAAGCTTCACTTTCTATTGGGTGGAGGTAAGCTAATCTCTTGTCACTCCATCAACAGAAATGGACACTAAAATAAAGCAAAGAAACCCATTCCCAGAAAATTACACACATATATATATATACAGAAAGCAACAGTGGCAAAGATTTTAGTGCTTTTCAAGTGAGAAGGACAAAGGCATAACCAATTAGGGTTTCGTCGGGAAGTTGCCCACAGAAAGGTAACTTCTCTCTCACTTCATCCCTCTCTCCATCAGTCTTTGTTTTTTTTCTACGTGTCGTTTTTTTACCTCAGATTCTTCTTTATTCAATTCAAATTGATGGGATTTCTTTTGTTTTTAGGATTCGATTTGGGGTTGAGTTTCCTAGATTGATATGGCATTTTTCTTTTCGGTAATTTGTTCTTGTATGCGAGTGCTTCAATTGTAGGATGTTTTTTTTTTTTTGGATAATTCTGATTTTATTACCCAATGCAAAGTTAAGATACAACCAATCACCCAATCAACAACAAAATAAAGAAAACAACCTACACAAAATGATTGGTTATACTATATCCCAAACGCTACAAAGCTGTAAGTTAGTACTATCAAGTCTATTAATATTAGTTCCCCTAAGACGGATTCCAACAACGTCTTTAACCTCCTTTAGCAGGCAGTCGAGCGTTCTACTCCTTCCTTGAAAAATTCACTGATTTCTTTCCTGCCACAATGTGTAAATAACAGCAGTCCATGAAATTTTCAAAATGGTGGTGAGCAAAGACCTCCCTTTCCATAATGAACAAGCCTTTATGACCATTTCATCCCATGATAAGAAAGTCGTATTCATCCCATTAAGTTTCAGAATTGAATTCCAGAGTTCCACTGCCATTGTACAATGTGAAAAGAGATGGTCCCTTGTTTCATAAGAGGTACTGCAATTAACGCAAATACTGTCGGTGTTAATTCCCATTTTAAGTAGTCTGTCTCTTGTAGGTAATTTATTGAGCAGAGCCATCCAAGCAATTAAGCTGAACTTAGGGATATGCGATGGGAACCAAATGAGTTTGTGCCATATAACAGTCTGCCCTTTGCAACGAATCAAGTCCCAAATTTCCGTAGCTTGCGGAGAACCTGTGGAAAGTAATGGAAGAGCTTCAGCTCTTGATTTTAAGATCCTGTTGATGCTCCAACTTAAGTTAGCTGCTGCTTGATAGTGCCAAAAATCTTGCTCCTTAAAAACATAAGCCTTAAGCCAAGCAACCCATAGGGATCCGTCTCCTGCTAATATTTTTCGGATGAGGATAATGAGACAAGCTTTGTTCCAGGTTTTAGTGTTCTTCAATCCGAGGTCACCCTCTGATTTGGAAATACAAATTTTATCCCAACTCACACGAGCACCAGCAGCAGAAATATCTGCTCCTTTCCAGAAGTACCTAGAACAAATCTGGTCCACTTTTTTAAGAATAGAAGCTGGTAGAACAAGTTGTCTGCACCAGTAGTTGCTGACATTGAATAAGACTGATCTAATGAGCTCTAATCGACCTGCATAACTGAGATTTCTGTTAGACCAGTGATGAAGTTTGAGCTTGATATTGTCGATTAGAACTTGGCAATCCTTTTCAGTTAGTTTGCGGGTGACAAGTGGAATACCAAGGTAACGAATAGGGAGACTACCAATTTTGAACCCTGTAATAATTTTTAAAATCTCCATGATTCTTGGAGGAATCCCCGCAGCAAAAATCTCACATTTGGCAGGATTCAGTTTAAGCCCAGAGACATCATTAAATCGGTCAAGAATAGTGAGAACACCGACAACAGAGTCAACATTACCTTTACAAAAGATCAATAAATCGTCAGCAAACGAGAGATGAGTAAGACCAATTTTCCTGCACTTTGGATGGAAACCAAACATTCCTCTTTCGGCAGCTAAATTTAGCATTCGGGATAAAATATTCATTGCAAGAACAAAAAGGTAGGGGGAAAGAGGGTCTCCCTGCCTTAGGCCTCTAGCTCCTTTGAAATAGCCGATTAAGGTTCCGTTAAAAGAAATAGAGTACCTTGCTCCTGTGAAACATGCTTCGATCCAAGTAATGAAAGCAAGAGGGAGATTGAGAGCTTTAAGAATTTGAATGATGAATCTCCAGTGAACGGAATCAAAAGCCTTATGAAGGTCGATCTTCAGAACGCATCTCGGGGAAATGGATTTTCTTCCATAGCCTTTAACCATCTCCTGGGCAAGGAGGGTATTATCAATAATGCTCCTTCCTCTGATGAAAGCTGTTTGATTCAAAGTAATAATCTCTGGGAGAACATCAGTCAATCTTCTAACGATGATTTTAGTAATGATTTTGTAGATAACAGAACAACAAGAGATTGGTCGATAGTCTTTTACTGCACTCGGATTTGGAACTTTAGGAACAAGAGCAATAATAGTAGAGTTAAAAGCTGGGTGAATTTTGGCGTTGAGAAAGAAGAATTTAACAGCAGGAAGAACATCTTCACCCACTATATTCCAAGAGCTCTTGATGAAGAAAGGGGTGAAACCGTCGGGTCCAGGAGCTTTATCATTACCTTGGCAGAAAATTGCTTTCTGGATTTCTTCTCGAGTAATTTCCTTAATAAGGCTAGAAGAAGCTTCAAATGACAATGAATAGTTGAGGAGGTCTTTGAGAAGGATAGGATCGATATCTTTGACCAGGTTGTCAGTTGTTCCAATCAGATTGGAAAAGAAGGAGATTACTTCTTTCGACATTGCTTCAAAGGACTCCAATCTGTTGCCTTGATCATCAACAAGAACACGGATAGTATCCCTCTTGTTTTTAAATGCAATCATTGAATAGAAAAATCTGGAATTTTTATCTCCATCTTTAATCCACTGCACTTTTGCCTTTTGCTTAAGGAACGCAGCTTCGGAATCTTCCAAAGTATTCAGCTCTTTTTGTAATAATAGTTCCTTATCGATAGTGTCATGTCCCTTTAAAGTGAGAAGTTGTTGATGTTCCAACTCTATTCTTTTAAGCTTAACTCGATCGGAGAGATTGCTGTAATTTTCCTTATTAAAACTCGTAAGACACACTTTGAGTCTTTTAAGTTTAGTAAGGAGAATTTGCATAGGATCGCCATGAGCAAGTTGGGACCAAGAATGACTTACTACATTTAAGAAGCTTGGATGAGTAGCCCAAAAATTAAAGAATTTAAACGGCTTTGGCCTATTAGCAGGAACTTCTTTGACAAGCCATGTAAGAGACATGCAATGGTCCGAGACTCCTGGTGCCAAGAACTCGACAAAAGAGTGTTGAAAAATAGAAGCCCAATTAGAGTTTATCATGACCCTGTCAAGTTTCCTTGCAAGAAAGAATTCTTTTTGCTTGTTGGACCAAGTGAAAGAAGGGCCAAAATAAGGGTGGTCATGGATTTCAAGCTCTTGAGCTAAGTCCTGGAAGTCTTTCATATCAGAAGTGAGATAATGGCCAAGGACTTCATGGTCGGTACTTTCATGGGAGTGCAAGATAATATTAAAGTCCCCTCTTAAAATCCAAGCTGACTTATTAACAATATGATCAACTTCTCTTAAGGTCTGCCAAAGCTGTCTTCTAGCAATACCATCATTACTACCATATATAGCCGAAATAAACATAGGAGTATCTTGGTGAGAACCTCTAATTGTAATGCATTGATCCGAATTTTGAATGACAGACATATTAATGCCCTTCCTCCAAAGAACCCAAATTCTACCATTGCTAGTATGGTCATAATTGAAACAGAAATTCCAGTTCTGGAATTTAGAAGCACAAATAGTCTTTGCTTTGTCCACCTTTACTCTAGTCTCCAATAAACAAAGGACGTCAACATTATTCTGGGTGGCTCGAAGAACCACTTCTTTCTGCTTTAGAGGATTGTTAAGTCCTCTAATGTTCCAAAAACAAACTATCATTGAGAAGGCAATCCCGAAGAACCCCCTTGACCTCCAGCAGTGAGCCGTTTAGCTCTCTCAAACTGAACCTTCTTTTTTGATTTTAGGTCTTTCAATAAGCTTGCCACTCCCAAAGATGCTGCCCTAGGTTTCCTTTGAATTTCTGAACAGTTAGAATTCTCTTCAACAGAATTGAGTAAATCAAATCTGTTGGATGAGCCTGAAAACTGAGATTTGGCAACTTCTTTCAATTGTCGGCCATTACCAGTTGTAAGTACTGATGGTTGTATATTTTCTGCTTCGACAGTTTCGAGGTTAGAAGCAGGAACATCATCTCTGTTTGGGACAACAGCAGTATCTTCGGTTTTGTTCTTAATAGCAGCAACAATATCAGCTTTGATCGTGACAGCAGCAGTAACTTCAGCTTTGTTCGAGACAGCAGCAATAACTTCAGTTTTGTTCTTAGTAGCAGCAACATTAGAATAATGAAGCTTCTGTATTTGATCTGGAACAATAACTTCAGTCTCAATCTCCTTACTCTTTGCATTTACTTCAGTTTCAGTAACATTATCCTTCTGAAATGCAACAATTGAGTCTGATATTTTGAGTATTTGCTTCAGCAATAGCCGCAAATTTCTCAGGTTCTTGAAGAACTTCAGTCCCTCCAACCTGAATGGCTGTTGTAATGGGATTGTGTTCTGTCTTTTTCTTCCAGACTAGAGGGACAGTTTGGTTAGTGGTTGTTTTAAGCTCACAACCTTTCTCGTTATGCCCAAATACATTACATCTCCTACAAGAATGTGGAAGCCAAGGAACCTCAACAGTTATTGAGGTTGTTTGTCCGTTTTTCAGAACTACCACAATGTGCTTCGGAATAACATCTCTAACACCTATTTCTATACAGACTTTTGCAAATTCAAGTCTAGATTTCGTAGCAGTAATAGTGTCCATGGATATAGGGACTCCAATGGCACTTGCAATATAGCTTAAGCCAGTTCTAGAAAATAGTTCGAGTGGGACATTGAACAGATTTACCCATACTGGAATCTTAGACAAGTTGAGACTAAGCCTTTTAAGGTTAGGCTCCCAATTCCTAAGGATTAAGGGTTTATTATGCACATGCCAAGGACCATTATTCAAAACCCAGTCTCTAGCAGATTCGCTACTGAAAGAGAAAACAAAGGTGTTGTTTCCAGCAGAACTGACCTGTAAACGGGTTCCCAACAAAGCTTTACTCCATAAAGTTTCGACTGTCCGATGAAGAGTGGAGAAGCTTGGAGCCACTCCCAGAAATTGGCCCACTATAGACAAACTCCACTCTGAAATTCCTTCTTCGAAGATCTCTGAAGGCGGGGAAATAGTCGGAATGCCATCGCAAAGTTTGGTGGGAAAATAATCTAGGTTTTGATTTGTCGAACCTCCGAACAACTTACGCCAGTCCATTTTCAAGCTTTGATCGCAACGAGCCACAGACGAACGAGGAGAAGAAACAGCAGTGAACAAAGAAGAAAATCAGAGAAGAATCGCCGGCGAGTCAACGGAAAATCAGGTTCCATTAGACCTGCTAATGTGCACCCAGAGGAAGCCGTTAACATTAGAACAGATCAACAAGCCCATTAAATATCAATTGTAGGATGTTGTTTAGCTGAAATGAACAAAATATAGTTTGATGCCCTTTGAAGGAAGTTGACTGTGTATGATGATGATGAGAAGGAAATAAGTTTTTCTTTTCCGTTTTCACATTAAAATTTAGTTTGGATTTCTGGGTAAAGTGGATTATTGAGTTGTGTGGAAAATTAGGAAAATTTCGACGACAGGATCGAATTCTGGGTTCCATCATGAGGAAGATTTAGCATCAAATATGAACCGGCACGCTTTACCATTCCAATCAGCTGTGTTTAGTTGTAGTTCGGACATGATTCCGGTGGGTGGTTACTTCGCTCCGCTGCCGATGTTCTTGCCGTGGAATTCCAGTGATTTTACCTTGTATCCCGCCTTAATCCAACCGGGAAATTCTTCTGGATCTTCCTTCCTTCTAGATTCTGTTGCAGGGCTCAAGGATGACACAGGGTTGGCTGCCGAGTGGTCTGTTGATGAACAGTATATATATTGGAGGATGACCTTGAAAAGTATGTTCTATAATCGCTTCTTCTTGCTTTTTTATTTTGAGCTTCTGGAGGCTTATTCAATTGCACGATTGATATAAGTAGTGTAGATGAATTTTCCCAGTTAATAGAGTAAAAGATTCCTTTATTGTGTTAGTAGGACTACTGTGTGTTTTCATTTTTTATTTTTATGATAGAACTTTCCAAAGAGATACTCATTAGGTATGTCTTGTTTTTGAGCCTAAGATTTAAGAGATGATTTTCATTTTTCAATGTGCATGTATATAGATATAAAGAGGAACCGAATATTTTGAAGTACATAAAGATTGCGGCTACTTTGCCGGATAAAACCGTACGTGATGTTGCTTTGAGGTGTGGGTGGATGAAAGTAAGGTCCCTTCTTTTTTTAATGATTCATTTCTACCGTCGTCTGTACTAATTTCTATTGTCTTGTATCATGTGATTTATGCTCTCATACTATATCTGCATGTGAAAAATTAGTTTTTAAGATTATTAGTTTTGATATGGTGGGAACTGGAAATGGTCAATTAACGACACATGTTATGGATTATCTGTACTAAAGAGAACTTGGACCAAGATGTATCTCCTTAACCAATTATCTTTTACTTTCTGAAATTGACAGAGAAAGCGGCGGAAGCCTGAAGAACATAATTCCGGAAAAAAGGTGAACAATAGAAAGGTATGCCTCTGATTTTTTGTAATTTTGTGAAATAGTTATTGATTTCTTAAATTCTTTTGCCCCTAAATGAATTTGCACATGCTACTTAAATTTCTTTAGGATTTAAGGCTTGAATTTGGCAAGGAATGCCGATTTTCTACTTTTTATTTTTCAAGTTGAATTATTGTTTTTTTTATTGCCTTATTTCTTTCACGTCAAATCACAAATAAGGCTATTAACTATGACTAAAAATTAACAGCAAGTAAATTCACTGTATTTCAATTTGCAAAGTTGAATGCCATGACTTGTTTTCATGTTTAAATTTCCGAAAACAACCAATGTCTTTAGGATATATTTTGATTGAAGAACCCGTATTCTAAAGATCATATTTCTTCAGGATAAGCTGGTGGAATCATCTTCTAAGATGAATATGCCTTCATCTCTGCCACAAACCATGGCTGCATATCCTCCGATGATGCACCATCTGGACCAGAATGAACGAATGTCTTCTGAAGGTTTGTATGTTATATTAACACCTAGAAGTGTTGGTATCTTCTTTTGGTTGTGATTGCTTTTGATTAGTGTCTTTCTATCAGAGTATCAGTGTTTGTCCGAGTCTCCCCTTTTGTATCATTTCGTGAAATATAGAACATAATTTTCCCTAATCTTACAAACTGATCTTCCAAAATTTAAAACTGTTTCAAAAGAGTAAGCTTTGAAAACTTAACAGCAGTGCAATAGTTATACTCTACAAAAGAGATTGATCTTTCTTTATGAGGTCAAATAATGACTCTCGCTTCTGGTTTCAGTCAAGTAGCTACACAGTGAATATCTGCGAAATAATGGCACAGCCTAAACACCTGTGTCATTTAACGATAAAGCTAAAGAGTTTATTAAACGGTAGTTTGCATATATAAATTATATTCTGATAGCTTCATACCCCCAATCATGTGTCCATTTTCCTTGAAATTATCAAACTAATTTTTATTAATTTATTTCCTTTCTCTTTTTAGTTTATGTGAGGTTTTACTTAATGAAAGACTTATTGTAGTTTATCACAAGGTTTTAATGTTTAATCTGCAAATTATGCCTGCTGTTTCAATATTTAATCTGCTTGTTTGTTGTATGTTCTTAGGAATATGCGCTACAACTATGCATCTTTTGAAGCAAAATGCTCAAACTCTTAGCCAAATCACATCCAATCTTTCTGCATATAAGGTATCATTCCCTGGTTCATAACCTTTCTTTGATCGTCAATATGCAAGCATGCAGTAAATAATAGGTGTTAATGCAATGAATCTGCGCCTTCTTGTTTATTCTACTTTTTTAATGTTTAGTCTGCAAGTTATGCTAGTATTTGCAGTAAAGTTCAAGATGTTAACTAAGGTGATAATGATTCCTTTATTAATTGATTAGTGTTGATGGCTTTAGAGCGAGACTATGAGAATCATACATCACTGATGAAATTATTAAGATCAAAATTTTTTGACCCAAAATTTTTAGCTTCGTTTGCAAACTGAATATAAGGTGGTATATAAATGTGTTTCTGCATTTATGCTCTTCATTGCGTATTGTTGCAAGTGGTACTCGTCTTTCAAAGGAAGTGTCATGGATTCTATTTATTCTTCTTTTGCATAGTGCTCTTTGAATCCTGTATGTGATTACCTTACCATGTATGATTCTTGTTAAAACTTAACAGTATTCCGAGCTTGGCTTATTTATTAAAGCTTTTATAAACAGTTACCAGATAACATCGATCTCTTTTGTCAAGCAAGGAACGATATTACCGCCATGCTAAACAAGTACGGTGATTTCCTTTTTAATTGTCACTTGGTGATTAATGCCCTCTGGGAAGAATTTTGATTATTTATCGGGTTTGCTGTCTCCTATACGAGTTATTAATTTCAGTTGGACTTTTTGCAGCATGAGAGATACACCAGGTTTAATGAGCCATATGCCACCGTTGCCCGTATCTGTTATTGAGGATTTAGCAAATAGCATCTTGCCTGGAGCAACTAACGACTTGTCTTAGGTAGTTTCTTATTTAAATTGGTATCGTTGCTTGTGCTTGGGATTGATGACCAAAATGGTGAGGTCGGATTAAACGCTATAAGCCATAGACTTCGTATAAAACACCATATAGCCAAAGCCTACTTTATGCCTGGTTGCAAATGTGACCTTCCTGGGTTGATCTGAATATTGAACTCTTTCGGTCTTACACTGTTCATGTTAGTGTGGCATGTAGTCATCTTTGCATGTGGTTAGGTCACATAAACCGAGAACTTTATCATGGTTCTTGAGATGAAGAGGGCGTCGGGTGGGATTGAATTTACACCTCGAGATCAACCCCTTATACCATCATACTATCAACTAGTGTCTGTTTAATGGTAGGAAATTAGTTGCCCCACAAGGCAATAGGTGAACCTGCAAATGTTTTAAGCAAATGGTAAATGATACCTATTATGATCCCACTTATTCACAATGGTGCATACTTGTGTTACCTTGTTTTGTTTTTCCTCGTGTACCCAGACGGTGGTTTTTGGCTCGCAAAGCTGGATCCATCTCAAGCAGGAACCATCTCAAGCAGGAACCGAGGTGCTGATATCGAACTGTCAAGATCGAGATTGGATATATATCTGGTTCGTGTAACCACAAAAGAAAATTTGACTGCAAATGCCACCAGAAGCCGGTAGGTTGCCACCATTGGGTGCCACAATGGATAAATTTGTAGAGATCCCCCTTTTTCGGAACCCGAAAATGTTGTACCCATCAGATATCAAATCCATGCACCAGATAATAAGAATTGCAGACCACTTATCATCTCCTTGCTCCGTGGAGGCTAAACTTATTCCAAAAAAAAAAGAATCTAACAGGTTCAGTTGAATCCTTGGTCCTTCGATTCATGTACTTGCTTGTAGTTTGTAGTCTTCTTGTTTCAGTATTTAGACCAATTTGAAAACGCTTTGATCAGGCCAACAATTTCAACTCACTGAGTTAGAATGATTTTCTCTTGTTGTAGCATTTTTCTTTTGTATAAAGGAAATCACAATTTGATCGTAAAAATTGAGATTCTAATTTTATAATTTTGATTTTGTAATATATTATAGGGTAAAGTATACAAATGATCCCTTGATTATAGAGTATTGTTTTATTGAGTCTTACTATTAAAAGTTATAAAATTGTCATTTGATTATAGGATGTTCCTTTCTTAAATCTTTCGACTATTAAAAATTACAAAATGATCACCTGACTGTTCATTGTGTTCCAAATTTGTCTTTTTTCGGAAAAAAAAATTAATGGTAGTTTGAGCTGGACGTTAACATGTTGATTGAGATATGATAGTCGTTTGAGATTCTGAGTTCATATTATATCATATCTTAGTCAGTAGATTAATGTACAATTCAAACTGACATTAATTTTTTTTTTTACGAAAAATGACGAGTTTGGAACATAATGATTCGTCAGGTGATCATTTTGTAACTTTTAACAGTCAGAGGACTCAATAAAGCAACACTTTATAGTCAGGAGATCATTTATGTAATTTACCATATATTTTGTAATACGAAAATTACATCTTACAATATGTATACATTAAACATTGGAGCTTGAGGTACTATGTACAAAAAAATCTCTCTAGATTAACATGATTTTTAGGTAAATTATACCAATCATCACTGAATTTTACGTTTTATCTTATTTCATTTACTGTACTTTAAGTTTATTCAATTTTTTCACTGAATTTAATGCAATTAGTATTTTTGGCCACTCGATCGTTTTCTTACTAAACGGTGTTATAAATGAACTATTATATAGATGCAAAATGACATCGTTTTGGTAAAAATCTTATTTTCTAAAACGATGTCGTTTTAACACCGTTAAATATTTAACGACTGAGTGACCAAAAATGTTAATTGCATTAAATTCAGTGTGAAAATTGAACGGATTTAAAGTACAGTGAGTGAAATGAGAAAACGAGTAAAGTTCAGTGATGATTAGTATAATTTACCCATGTTTTTTTATAAAAATCCGATGACGACGTCGTGATTTATACTATATATAATTATCGATATCCAATCTGGATCTATCACAAATTACCAGACCAATCATAATCCTGATAGACGATGGTAATGGTGTCTTCATCAGTCAAAAGCTTCTTCAAAAGCTCGGCGTCCCTTCCATCAATGTAGTTCAAGACCCACTCTAAGATGTCTCTATCCTTCTCTCCAAAATCTGCACTGTACCTGTTTGTCAAAATGCCCATGTTTTCATGTGTCAATTTCAAAATCTTTTCAATTCCATCCCTTAATTACTGTCTGAGGTTTTCTTTGTTGGTTAATTGCTCCATACGTCCTGAACTATATTTTAAATTTATGGTAAATTATGTGTTTAGTACCTAAACTATCAATTTTGATCCATTTTAGTATATAAACTTTCAATTTTTTCAAAATCATATCTAAAGTTTAGTTTTTATTTCATTTTAGTACCATGCCGTTAAAAGCTTTAGTTTTTGTTTCATTAGTACCCCGTTCAAAAATTAACAAGTTTTGAGAAAAAAATGAAAAGTTTAGGTACTAAACGCATTAAGTTTTTAACGTGGGGTACTAAAATGAAGAAAAAACTAAATGTTGTGTATGGTTTTGAAAAAATTGAAAGTTTAGGTACTAAGATGGACTCAAATTAATAGTTTAGGTACTAAATACATAGTTTACCCAAATTTAAAACAAATTCATTAAAATGATCATTAAATTTATCGAATTAGTACATAATGATCTTTAATTTTTATCGAACTGTTACATTTTTATAATATTATAGTAATCATTTGAAACAGCTCGATAAATTTAATGACCATTTTATAATTTTTATAAGTTCAATGACCAAAATAATGTTTAAACATTGTTCAATAACCTTGGGTGTATTTGCTCAAATTTTGATGACCAAACTAGGGGAAGGGACTTACCACTTGATAATTCGAGTTAAGTAACCCTAAACTATAAGAGATTGACATTTTAAGGACTCAAACAAAAATAGTTTAAAAAGTCTAGGATAAAATATGCTAGAGATCACTAAGTTACGCTCAAACAATAATTTTGGTCACTAAAATTTCAAAAGTTACAAATTAATCATTAAATTTATCGAATTATGAAAGAATGATCTTTAATTTTTATCGAACTGTTACATTTTTATAATATTATAGTAATCACTTTATAACAACTCGATGAATTTAATGATCATTTTATAACTTTTGTAAGTTCAATGACCAAAACAATGATTTAACATTGTTCAATAACCTTGGGTGTACTCACTCAATTTTTTATGGCCAAATTAGGGGGGAGGGACTTACCACTTTATGATTAGAGTTAAGTAACCCTAAACTATATAAGAAATTGACATTTTAAGGACTCAAACAAAATAGTTTAAAAAATTTAGGGTAAAACATGCTAGAGATCATTAAAATACACTCAAACAATCATTTTGGTCACTAAAGTTTCAAAAGTTACAAAATAATCATTAAATTTATCGAATTATTGCAGAATGTTCTTTAAGTTTTATCGAACGATTACATTTTTATAGTACTATAGTAATCATTTTATAACAACACGATAAATTTAATGATCATTTTATGACTTTTGTAAGTTCAGTTACCAAAACAATGATTTAAACATTGTTCAATAACATTTGGTGTAATTGTTACGGTAAATTACATGTTTAGTACCTAAACTATCAGTTTTAGTAACTAAACTTTCAATTTTTTTCAAAAACATACCTAAAGTTTAGTTTTTTTTTCATTTTAGTATATTTGTTCAAAATTTAACATTAAGTTTTGAATTTTTTTTTAAAGTTTAGATACTAAAACGGGCCAAAACTGATAGTTTAGGTACTAAACTATCAGTTTATCCTAATTTTTATGACAAAATTAGGGAGAGGGACTAACCACTTGATGATTCGAGATAAGTAAACAGTTCTTACTTCCCAATCAATCTCAATCCCTTCATTCTGAAAGTACTCCATTGTTGCATTTTTGAGCTCTTCTTGCACATTCTGGGCTGTGAAGAACCTTAGCTTCGGGCTTGATCTTGTTCCTTTGCATAATCCGAAATGAATCAATGGATTCAGTTTCATAGGAACCAGCTGCCAAAATTACAATGAAAAACAAAAGGTCATGCCTCCATGATTCATAAAGTCAAAATATTCCATGAAAAATATGACCCTATAGAATCGATTTGAAACTAGTCGAGTTCAGGTCAAATATCCATCCTACTCGTAACAGGAGGCATAAAGACTAAATCTCGATATAATAAAGGTACGAAAAACACAATTTGAACTAATTTTTTAAGAAAAAAAGATTAGATTGGTGGATTTAGGATTTACATGTAAACGTCGATCTCCTTTGTTAAAGGGTTTGGTCAAGGAATAAGGGGGTCTATGATTGTTTCTGAGAATCCCATTCTCTATGATACTGAGGGAATAAGGGTACCTTCCGATTACATATTGAAAGTCCATGAAGAAAGCTTTGTTATCGAGTATTCCTTCAGGGTGTCCGATGCTGATTATAGCATGGATCACCATAGCATTATATAAGTTCAAGAAGAATGTCAATCTCTCGTTTGGAGTGAATAATTTTAAATTGATCCTCTGTAAATCTCGAGCCAACTTAATGTATCTGTGTTAACAACAAAAATGATAACTCAGATTTAATTCATTTAATCTATACAATTATAATTGAAAGATATCTCGATTTAAATGACATCTTTGTAAAAAAAAAAATAAAGACAAACATTTAACACTCAAATTCAATCAATAGTGACTTAAAAATTGGGTAAAATATGCTATTAGTACTTAAACTGTCAGTTTTGATATGTTTTAGTATATAAACTTTCAAATTTTAGTTTTTGTTTTGTGTTTTAGTACCACCACCATTAAAAACTTTAGTTTTTGTTTCATTTTAGTATCCCGTTCAAAATTTAACGTTAAGTTAAAAAAAAACTAAAAGTTTAGGTGTTAAAACAGATCGAAACTGATAGTTTAAGTACTAAACACATTAATTTTTTAACGGTGGATACTAAAATGAAATAAAAAAATAAAAGTTTAGATACTAAAAGCGTAATTTACCCCTTAAAAAAGTACCTGCGGAATTCTTCACTTTTACCGATGGCAAGATAATCGACATGGAGTCTGTTATGGGATACATAGCCATCCATTTCCACAATGGCACACATTAACTTCGAAAGCCTATCGACCATTACCGATGCAGGCTTCGGTTCATTATCATTCGTTGATGTTCGAAAGTTGAAGCATCCCATAATGAACGGCTCATGTTCAAGGAAACGATAATAATGATTCCCATTTTCAAAGTCATTTTCCCTTCAATAAAAAATAATAATTAACTTAGGAAATTAACATTATATTATTAGAATTTAGGGTAAAATACACAAATGATCCCCCGACTATAGGGTATTGCTTTACTAGTCCTTCAACTATTAAAAGTTACAAAATGGTCTTCTGACTATAAAAGATTGTTTGGTTAATCCCTTGATTATTAAAAATTACAAAATGATCCTCCAACTATTCATTATGTTCCAAACTCATCATTTTTTATTAAAAAATTGACAGTATTATGAGTTGAATGTTAACATGTTGATTGTGCTATGATAAGATATTACCCTAGAATCTTAATGACTATCATATCTTAGTCATCATATTAACATCCAGCTTAGACAACCATAAATATTTTAACGGAAAGGACGAGTTTAGAACATAATAAATAGTCGGGTGACAATTTTGTAACTTTTAATAGTCAAGGGACATAACGAAGTAACATTCTATAGTCAGATGATAATTTTGTAACTTTTAATAGTTGAGGGACTTAATAAGACAATATCCTATAATTAGGGGGTCATTTATGTACTTTACCCTAGAATTTATTTAATAATAGAATGTGTCTAACCCAAAGACGTGGTGGATGAAGTGTTTTTGGACAATCATCTTGGCAGTGGCAATGCCCTGCAACACCATATCAATAGAATGATATAAGATATGATTAATCCTCATAAATGATTACAAATGGATTCTTATAACATTAAAATAATAATAAATTTAGATAAATTTAAGAATCATTTTACAATAATTTCATAATTTTAATGATTATTTTGTAATCGTTTGAGAAGTTTAATGATCATTTTATAATATTTGAAAGATTCCTAACAAAAAAAGATTATGAAAGTGACTAGTTAATGTATAGAATGTATATTTAAGGCTAAAATTAACTACTACTATAGAATATTTAAGGGTAAATTATACAAATGATCCCCCAACTATAGAATATTACTTTATTAAATCTCTTGATTATTAAAAGTTATAAAATTGTTCTCTGACTGTTGAGTGTTACTTTGTTGAGTCCTTCAATTATTGAAAGTTACAAAATGGTTACTCAACTATTCATTATGTTTTAAACTCATCCTTTTTTCGTTAAAAAATCGACGATCATTTGAGCTGGATGTTAACATGATGACTGAAATATGATAGTTGTTTAAAATTTTAGTATCATATTTTATCATATCACAATCAACAAGTTAACGTTCAGCTCAAAATATCGTCAATTTTTTATGGAATATAATGAATAGTCGAGAAACTCAACAAAGCAACACTCTATAGTCAGAAAATCATTTTATAACTTTTAATAGTAGATGAACTTAATAAAGTAATACCTTATAGTAAGGACCATTTGTGTACTTTATCCAATATTTAAACCTTTCTTTTGCCGCAGTCAAGGTAGGTAGTAATGGCTTCCACCATATCAGCACCAGCAAAGCAACTCTTCACCATTTTCATCTTAATCAAACGGTCCTGAATCTGCAAACTCCGTCTCAGGTAATTCACTATATTCATCAATTCATCTTCTTCGTCTTCCTCGTCGTTGGTTTCGTAATCCGGTGCTTTCGGTGCTTCTTCGGGACATTGCGGACCCAACAATTCCCTCATTTTCTCTTCCAATCCCCCACTCTCGCTCCACGATTTCAACGTCTCCAATCCACCGATCAGACAATCGTTAAAGAATATCTTCGGCACTCCGGCGTCTCCCGTTCGTTCGATCAATTCCTCGGTCTTTTTGGTGAACACGTCGATGTTTATTTCAACGTATCGATGCCCTTTTTCTTTGAAGAATCTGCGAGCGGCGATGCAGTTTTCGCAGTTCGATCTCGTGAACAACGTTAATCGACCTCTTATTTGATCTTCGAGTCGTTCCTCTCCGCTTTTTGGATTCACTATGACTTTCACGCCGGGGATCTTGAACTCCGTCACGTCGAAGTTCAACGGATCGTCGTCTTTCTCCACGAATTCGTCTGTGTCTTCTTTTAACGAGTACAGACTGTTCATGATCGCCGCCGAAAAACTGGCGCTCCGATCCAAAATGTATTTCCCTATCGAAGGCATCCTTAACGACTGCGATCGCTCCATTCTCGGCTTCGGCGGCTCCGGTTTCGGGAGATGAGCTTGAGAATTGACGGCTGTTATGTATTGATTACGGCCGCTTCCATCGTCATTTGTTTCATCATTCAAATTTGAATATGCTTTCCCGCCATCTTGACCGTCCGGCGCGGCGGTTGTTTCCACTCCGCCGTTCTCGGCGCCTTCGGGAATAGTCTTCCGGTCACCGTCATCGGCTTTGTCTTGCTTTGAGTGAATATCTATCGGATTCATATTTCTGAAAGGAATTTAAAAAATGAAAACGGAATAAGTTTATATATGTAAAAAATGGGATTTTAACGAAGAGAAACATAGCGATCAAAACGGAGAGATTTAGTGGGAGAAAATATAGAAAATTTTGGAAAAAACCACACAAATGAAATGTGATTTAAAAAAAAAAAAAAAAACTTGAAAAGGTCAAATATTTATGAGCCCAAGAAAAAACAATGGTGGCTATTGGTTAGAGTTTCATTATTTTTAATTTCATTCTTAAATTATCAATATATTAAGTCCATCATTGTTAATAAAATTAATTGGAAACTGGGTTGCGAAATTGGAGTTCGTGTTGTGATTTTGTTGGTTATTTTGACAAATTAAAAAAAAAATTAATTAAATTCATATATTATAAGACATTTTTTGTCACTGAGATTATTTTCTCTAAATAAAAATAACGTGCTTAAAAAATGCTTTGAATTCTTTATCATATAATGTTACTCCACCATGTTTTACAACTTGGCAGCACTCATTAATGCCACGGAACATTTCTTTCCCTACCCCAAAATAATGTAATTATTTTACCCTGATTATCATTAAAATGTTTTTATTTAAATCATACAAAAAAATTAATATAAAATAAATTATTTTTAAATAAAATTTAAATTATAAAACATCAATTTCACCATTCTAAAAATAAATTGTATTGAATATTTTGAATTGATAAATAAATTTGAAATTGTTAAATGTATTATTGAATTGTTATATTTGAATTAAACTCTCAATCATTTAAGCATAATAGGAATATTTAATTTTAAGTTATAAATAAAATAAATCAAATTAAAAATTGTTTAAAAAATATTTATTTTAAATTAATTTATTAAAAAGTAAACACTAATAATTATAAGGGTTAACTACATGGTAAATTACGTTTATGTTTTGTCCACTTTTGGTCACTCATTTAAAAAAAATAAGATATAATTAATTTCATTTTTATTTAATTAAGATGTGGTCACCCGAGTTAACTGTCGTTAACAACAGTTAAATATTTTGATATAATCACACATTTGGTCCATGTTATTTGTATATTCTCTCAATTTAGTCATATTTTTAATAAATTAAAATAAATTCAATCCTCTAATCGAATAATACCACATATATTGCCACGTAGGGGTAAGCGTTCAATCGGGCCGAGTAAAAAAAGGTGAGTTATTCGAGTTAACAAGTCCTAATTTTACAACTCGAAGTTGACTTTAAATTTTTTAGAGTCGAGTCGAGTCGAGTCAAATTTTTTAGTTTTTGTTTAAATTTAATTATAAATTTTTATAATATTATGAAACTATTTTATTCCAATTTAAATGATCTTTTATAAACATGTACAATACATGTGTATTTCTTCGTATTTTTTCATTGAAATTTTTTCAAATCTAGTCGAGTTTATGAAATTACAACTTGAAGTTAATTCGATTCAAGTTTTCAAAAGTCGAGTTGAAAAAATCGTTTCTTCTAGTTGAATCGAATTTTATCTAAAAAACAAATGTGTGAAATACGTCTTAAAGACACATATTTACATAAACATGAGTTGAGCGATTATGACGACATACTTGTATTAATCTTATATTCAATCATTTAATAAATGTGTGTCTAAAAATTTTACATTTAAACAATTAAAAACTTATAGAAGTAAACAATATGACATTTAAAAATTCGCATGAGTATTCAAATCCCACATTTTTCGGACACTAAGTTTTCAAGTGTATAAATATAATATTTTAAACATATATTTATTGACTGATTCAATATAAACTAATGCACATATATCATCACCGCCTGACTCGTATAATTACGTATGTTTGACAATTGACTTATTCAATATAAACTAATGCACATACATCATCACCGTCTAACTCGTATAATTACGTATATTTGACACGCATGATGCACGTTTGTTTTTTTTAAACAAAATTCATAATATTAATTAATATATAATAAAAATATAAAATATAAAATTTATCATTTATGTTTGAATTAAATATTTTAATAAAGTATAGATAACATTTTGAACATCCAAAAGTACATATGCCACAATCAAGTAATTTTAACTAGAAAAAGTACATGTATTTAGTGAACCATTACAAAATGATTAATATAATATTATAATAAATATAAAATTTCGATAAATTTAATTATATTTTTAAATATTTTTCTAAAATCCAATGGTCATTTTCTAATAATTTAACAAATTTAATAAACTATTTTATAGTTTTTTAAAATTACGTGATTAAAAAAATTAATTAAACATAATTAAATCAATGACTTTTATTGTACTTCACCCTAGGGTGAGCAACGAAACTGAGAAAACCGAAAAATCGACACGAATCGAGTAAAACGGTTCGGTTCGGTTTGGCTTTAAACGGTTTGATTTTCGGTTCGGTTTAAAGGCTTCATTTTTTTGATTTGGTTCGATTCGGGTTTTCCATATGGAACCCATTTGTTCCATATTGAACCGAATAGGCAATTTTTGTAAAAAAAATTATAGTTTCAAGTGATTTTTTCATTGAAAAACCGAAAAATCGAACCGAACCGAACCGAAAAACCCGGACCGTTAAAAAACCCGAACTAAACCGAAAAAACCGGTTTTGATTTTTTCGATTTTTTAACTATTCGGTTTCGATTTCGGTTTAAATATTGAAAAACCATTTATTTCGGTTCGGTTCAATTTTTGGTAAAAAATCGAACCGAACCGAACCGAATACACCCCTACTTTACCCTTTTAAATTAAACAAGGTTTCAATTACAAGAAGCTAAGAATGATAGACGTAGTAACATGAGAAACTCCGTCAAAATTTTTGTCCTGAATAACCAAGCCACGTTAGGCATAAATATATATAGTAAACTAAACAAGTTTTCATTAAGGTTAAAGTATACAAATGGTCATCCGATTATAATGTATTATTTTATTAAGCCATCAACAATTAAAAGTTACAAAATAATCCTCTAATTATAGAGTGTTATTTTGTCGAGTGCCTTGACTATTGAAAGTTACAAAATGGTCATATAAATTTTCATTATGTTCTAAACTCGTCGTTTTATATTAAAAATTGACATAATTATGAGATAAACGTTAACCTGCTACAATGATATAATAAAATATGATTTCAAAATCTCAAACGACTATCACATCTTAATTATCATGTTAATGTTCATCTCAGACAACCATCAAGGTTTTAACAGAAAATGATGAGTTTGAAATTTAATTAATAGTCGAATGACCATTTTACAATATTCTACAGTAAAAGAATCATTTTTTAACTTTTAATAATAAAAATAATTAATATAACAATATCTTATAGTCGGATATCATCTGTGTACTTTACCCTTTCATTAACTAATCATTAAAATGACCTAAGTTAAATGACTAAAACGTCATTTTATCATAGTTTAAGGGGCTCTGGTGTCTTTATCATCTATTAAAAAAACAACTAATAAGTATTTTATTAGTAAAGTAGATCTCATTTTGGCACGTCACGTTGTCACATGATATGATATTTCATATTTGTATCTGTGAAACTGTCAAACGCCAGCGAATCCTATAGGTAGGCCCACCATTTTTTTAATATCTGACTTGTCTTCGAAATCCCCGAGGAATATTAATTAATTAAAATATCATTTCGTTGTTATTCTACGTATTTGCTAATTAAAATAAAATCGAAAAATCCAGATATTAACAATGAGGGTAAATTACACTGCTTCTCACTGAACTTTACTCTCTCTATTATTTTATTCATTTTACTTTTAATTTTTCTATTTTACCCATTAAACTTTTGAATTGTTCTTATTTTGATTGCTTTAAATTATTTTATTATTATTTTTGTATAACATATTTTTTTTATTATTTAATATAAAAATAATTTAAATTATAAAATAAAATGTCCATTCGGTCCCAATTTCATGGGTCAGTTCGCCTTGAACTCATGAGTTCGAATATAGTGGTTGTTTTATAGGAAAATGTCTCAAAACTTGTGAATCCCGACTGGAACATTTCATCTTCCTCACTTTTGATCTTTAATTGGTGGATTTTAGAGCAAGTTATGAAAAATGGAGGTCGGATTCAAACTTAGGCTGTTGAGGTGATGTGACCCATAAAATTCGAGATCAAACGGCCATCGTCTAAGGCGATTGACGGTGACATTCGATAACCTTATGTTTTTATCTTATATTTTAAATTATTTTTATATGAAATAATAACAAAATATGTCACATCATACAATGATAATAAAAAATAATATAGAGTGATCAAAACATTAACAATTCGACAATTCAAAAATTTAATAAGTAAATTAAAAAAATTAAAAGTATAATGAATAGAATAGGATAGAGAATAAAGTTTAGTGAGAAATTGTGTAATTTACCCCTAATAAGCAATACACAATTCACTCGAAGGCATACTCTCACAGTACTGTGAAGCTTAGCTGACTCTATATCTATACAGTGCTTTGCTTCACTCTCCATTAAAGGCACTCCATTATTCAACCTCTGTAGGCTGTTCTGCGGAGCTGAAGGTCTCTCTTCGATCTCTTTTTTCTCTCTTCGCTAGTCGTTTTAGTCTTGAATTTTGCTTTGGTCTGTTTGGTTACCGAGAAAAAATGGAGTAAACTGAACTGAATCTGATTTGTTTCTTCAACGTTTGAATAGTGTATTTCTCAGGTCCTTGTTTGCTTCGGATTTTCTGGTCTCGTTTCTTCTTTGTTATTGTTGTTGTTATTTGTTAGATCCGCGGTGAGTTATTGATGAAATGAGAAAAAAAATGAACTAAATATTGTTGCTGCTACTTTATAATGCTTTGTTTTTTGCTCTTAAAACTCGATAATTTTTTTGCTTCTTCAGTAAGTTTTACTGTTTTCTTTGAAGTTTAAAAGCAAAATAGTGATTTTTTTATATAGATTTTCTGAATTTGATATTGACGCTTACTAGCTATTTCTGGATATTTGTTTAGCTCCACTATTTTTTCGAACTTGTTT